ATATCATAAAATTTTATACGTAAATAATTTATCTCCTAATCATCTATCAAAACATAGTATACTTTATGCAAAATTTAATACAAGCATAATTCACATCTAAACTAACTATCAAACGACCCCTAAATGTTGTAATAAATTGAATTACAAGATGATAACATAAGAATTTAACCAAACGACCTCTAAATGTTTGTAATAGATTGAATTACAAGATGATAAGATAAGAATTTTATAAAATGTAAAAAATTTCCCTTACACGAAATAATAAATCAATCAATATTTAAATTAAACATATAAAAGCCAATAATATAATGGTTAGGTGTGGGTTTATTTTTTCTTGCCCCTTTCTCCTTTTTCAAATCTTCCAATAATGTAATATAAAAAAAACATTACAAAAGAAAACCACCACTATTTCACTTTATTAATTAATAAAATAGGTCATAGTAGTCTTATGTGATTCTAAGCTGGAAAGAAAAGGAATAAATATGAAAATATAAAAAATTGAAGAATACCTCTTTAAAATTGAAAAAATATTTTTTTACATCTAATTTGTATTGATTGGAGACAAATTAAATTAAAATATCCTCTAGTTTAATTTGACGCACTATTATTAAATCTAATATACTCAAAACCGTCAATTGCTAAAGGTCCACAATTGCTTTCCTTCAACTTGATTTCTTCTAATCGATTTGTGTCCACAAATTTTCTTGGAAAATCCAAAATATATCTCGTCTACAAGCACTATATATATATATATATATATATATATATGGTGTGTGCACAAATACAATATTTATTCATAAATTTATTTTTGTAAATGGTATATTAGTTAAATGGTGTTTTAAATTTGTGATCTGAAATAAACTATATATTTTATATGGTAGTAAATCATTTTATTAAGTATTAAATGAATATTTGATAAATATTATTAATATTGATACATTTTAAGGGGTGTTGATTAAATAATTTAAAATGTTTGCTTTATAATAAATTTAATTATATATATGTTTGTGTGATAGTAAATTATCTCATTCTTTTTTCTGAAAAAATTTAATATGAGTGCGGCCATTGAGATGTCTATAACTAAAGTGTTTTTCTTCATTTGATTTTGAGTAACAAAATTTATGCAAATATCAGCTGCATTTGAAGTAATAAAGCTATAACTAAAGGGTATGATTTTAAAACTAAATGTTATAGCTAATGTGGATCCCGTAATTTCAGAAAAGTTATACACTAATTAAATTAATGTAACGACCGTTCATAATTATAGCAGTTATCCGTATTGATGCATGTATTTGGATAGAGTCGCCTAGGATGAGACTTCGTAAAAAATTTAGGTTAGCCAGTTTCGAGTGAAAATCATGTGTTGTGGAGCTTAGGGGCCGTCGCTATCCATCAGTGGCGGAGCCACCTTACAATAAGGGGTTCATCCGAACCGCCTTCGGCGGAAAATTATACTATTTATACCTGGTTAAAATATATTTTTAGATATATATAGTAGATGTCAAATCCCCTTCGGCTACTTCGTGTGTCTATTTTTCAGATTTTGAACCCACTTATTGAAAATTCTGGCTCTGCCACTGCTATCCATGATGTAGTGTTTGATGATTTTGAACTTAAATTGTGTTAGTTGAGAGGAATAGTACTTAATAGAAACTTTTAGAACGAGAAACAAATTGAAAGAACTCCATTCTAACGATTTTTTACGGTGAGATATTCTTGCGTTGTTTTAATATTTTGAGGGTGTTGTGAACAAGGAGAGTTTGGGATTACTCCCCAAGTTACTATCGATGCTCATCATAATGGGACCCCCGACACTGTGGCGGTACCTTTATAGCGGTTCCCTTGATAGACGTAGGTCAGGATTGTAGCAAGTCTTAGCAGTTTTTATGTGCATGTCACGTTTTTAGACCTTATTTTCTCCTTGACATCCAAAAACTCATTTCTAAGTTTGAGAGTGACAATTTCCCACCTACTAGGGCTCTTCTAATTATTAAGGTGAATTTATGACTCTTCTCTACCATTCATTTCTTCTCTAAATTCATATACTATTGAGATTAGAATTAAGTGCTTAGACTAGACCTTAGGTTCATGACTGATGAGAATTTCTTATATGTATTCCTAAATGAATATTATGATGATTATAGGTAGTTAGAGTTTACTTCCTAATGTAGTATTTCATTCCTCTAATGTGATTTATGGAATATTTGGGAAAATTGGGTGAAAAATTCTAACTTGAGGACCTAGGATATGATCAAGGTAACAACAATGAGGTTTAGTCCCTAAGGCCTAGAAAATTGAATAATTAATTGAATATGTGATATTTATGTGTGTTAGATCGTGAACGCATATGAGACTTCGAGAAAGGGCAAGGCTCCGATAAAATAGCTTGTATTTGGGATCTTTGATTGAAGTAAGTTATGATTAATTGGATCTCGACTTGACTTAATTCATGTATGAGCTAATTGCTTATTGATTGACATGTCAAAACTGGATGATATGAATTGTATGCTTGAGATGCATGATTGAATTGAATATCACGTCGATATATATATATTATTTTAATGTGATACAGTACCATGCTGATACATATATTATATATATACATATTATTTTACTATGAATCGGATATCACATCAGTATGGTAAATCAACAGAGCTGATCCCCTAACAGGTCATGGTTATTGGCATAAAGAAGTGTATTAGCATGTATAAACACTTTATTTACTATTGATGATATGGTTAATCTTGTGGTGACTATACTTGTTGATTGTGAGTTGTCTATGTATAAGAGTCTGATTTACTTGCTATATTATCTACATGTTGCTTGTTTCTAATTTGAGTTGGCCTATGATGCTTACCAGTATATAGTGATTTGTACTGATAAATTATTGATACTATCTTGTACGATTTAACATATCTACATACCGATAACCGCTAAGTCAAATCGATAAACTTTAAAATCAAACCAAACCGATCGATACACAACCCTAACTTTTGTACAATAACTTTCAATTCTTAGGGAATTGTTAAGGGTAAATTACATAAATCCCACTAGTTTAGGTCCTAATTACTCAGATTCCCAATAGTTTTAAATATTACTTCCTCTACCATATTTCATACTTAGGATACATGAGTTTGAATTCGTGAGATACATGTATCTGCCAAATTTTAAAATCAAGATACGTATTTTATTTGTTTAAATTAATTGGTTCTAACTGATTTCCTTAATATAAGTACATCCATATGTATCATAGAAGTATCTAATATTAATTTTGTGTATTTGTTATATGTGTCTAGTATAAAATTTCATGTATCTATTTATATGATCTAATTTTAATTTCATGTATTTTTTATATGCATCTATTATTAATTCGATGTATCAAGTATCAATTTCATACATTATATTTAAAATCATGTATCTCAGATACATAGTAAACACACATGTAATTATGTGTATCTAAATGTGAAATGTAATTGAAACACACGAATTTAGGAACAAATCACGACGGTGGAGTATTTATCTTATCATTAATCCAAAAAAAAAGTTAAAAAATTACAAAATTCTCCCCTTCTTTAAGGATTTGATTTTTTTTCTTCATAGATACATATAATCTTAACTCAGATACATGAACTCTTAACTAGATACATGTACACCTGATGTGTATCCAACATTGTTGCACTTGATGTGCATCTAATGGTGTATTTTTTCTGTTAATTAAAGCTTGACGTAATTCTTTCATCTTGATTGGATCGTTTCTATACTTGGATCTATTCTCGACTTGAATGTTGGCGTATGAAGATTCAGTCCCTGCAATGAGAAATTCATGAGTGAAATGAACAAAAAAAAGTTGTTTGATTTAGTATAATATTATTAATGTGTAGTACATTTTAACGAGAATCATCCGATTTTGGGAATGTTCAACCATTAAAGTGTTTGAGAAACAACAAATTTAAAAATATAAAACCTAATTTGTAAAATTTTTAACAAATCCCCACTGTATCTGACAAATATTCATCATGATATGTAAATCCCCAAATCAAAAAATATTTAACAAATCACAATATACACTGAAAAACCAAAAAATTTACATGTCCCAAACCATGAATCTTTGATAAGCATAACAATATATTAAAAATTGAAGTAGAAAAAATGTACCCATTGCATCTTGTGGAACTTAGGAGTCGGATCCTACAACCATTACAAAATGGTTATGAAAAGAAACAAATAAAAATTTCTTTATCGGAAATTTATTGCTCATTAACAATCCCTTTAACAAGGTTCATACCATTTTTTGAATTATGAGCCATTAAAATGGAATGGAGAAATAACAAACTCAAACAATGTAAAAATTCTAAAATCTATCGGCTAAAAAATTTAAAACATTGATTCAAATACGGTTGAAACCTTACTTTACCACTTCAACTAATGTTGATTATGTAGAGATGGATATGAATCGTGTACATGCAAAAGGTGTATTGAACTGCTAAGGAAGAAGGGGGTAATGAGGGGATACGTGTGGGAGTGAGGAAGAAGGGGTGAGGGTGGGATAGTGTGAATAGGATACAATAATTTTTGAGATTGGGGAGGGAAGCGGTTGAATTGAAGAGAGATAAAGTAAAATATACTAATTATTATGTAAAACATATATATTATCTAAAAATTATGAAAAGTGACAAAACTATTTAAAAATCTTGCAAACTATATTATTATATTATATTTTGTTTTTTGGAAATTTTATAAAACTAATTATTTTAAATCGTTTGAAATTGTAGAAGCTCGAAATGATTAATTTATATTGTGGAGGGTCAAAATTGGGTGTCAACAGGCATTGTGTATCTGATTTAATTTTCTAAAATATATGGTATATTTATTAAAAAGTGATATTCTATGTAATATTTTTAAAGTAAAGATAAAATATGTATATATGATAGTATAGTATGTTTTCCAATTGTTAAAGGGATGATTTAACTAACTATTAAATTTAGCTTAATTATAAAACTAAGTTGGTTTTGAATGTTTATTTTATAGTTGGAGGGTCTCAAAATTGGAAAGAAGGTATTATCCGTTTTATGAACATCGGGAAAATGGAAGCGGGAAATCTGCTTCGGTTAAACCAACCGCCACAACGACTTGTCCATTCTCGTCGTTTCTCTCACAGTCGAACTGTTACTCTTACTGTTAATGCTTCTCAGGTACTCTCTCAATTCCACATTAATAATTTATTCGAGAATAAATAAATAAATGTGTTTAATTTGTGGGTGATGAAGGGAGAAATTAGGTATAGAGGGATGAAGCCAAGGAGGGAATGGATAGCTGATTGGGTATCTAGTAATGATGATTTGGTTCGGAGTATGCCAATTTATGTGGGTGGATTGTCTTTATTGGCAGTTCTCTTCAATCGTACTGTTTCTGGTATTGCTCCGGTTGCTGATGCTAGCAGGTTAGCTACTTTATTTGAGGCTGCAATTGGTGTACTAGCAGATTTCGTCTTGAAACAACCATTGTTTTTTCGTCTTTTACTTGGGTTTTGTGAACTTGACCTGAGGGTCTTGACAAGTTAAAATCTTGATAATATGAGGTGTTTTAGCTAAAGTTTGGTTTAAAAGGATAAGAAGAAGAGAAAAGTGATTTACTTATAACGTAATGTAGATGAATCGATGCAAACTTTGTTTTATAAAGTTACAGCTATTTAATGAATCCTGTAACAAAATGAGATTTTGCGATGAATACACCAGAGACATGATTTAATAGGTGAATGCTTTCTTTTTGTTTTAGAAACAAAGAAAGTTGAGGTCTTTGCCTTTTGGAAATTGTTAGTGAAGTTTCATAATAGCCCCATCATTACATCTTGAAATGATTATAGATCTTTTTTGGTATTGACCAACCCATGGGGGTATATAGTTGCTGATAATTGGACTCACCCAATAACTCCAATTACCAGTAAAACCTATGATATTATGCCGGGAAAACCTCAAAGCTTGTTCAGTAATTTTCTTAGTCATTGTTAAAGACATAAGTCCCACATTGGTTAAATATGGTTTTCCCAATTAGTTTGTAAAGATCTTGGTTGTTCGCTTTAGGTTTTAAATTAGTTGTTTTTGTTATTTCATATGGTATCATACCAACTTTAGTAAGCTTGTTTATGTTTTCTTGAGATGAAATGAGTTGAACACGAGAGACGGTGTTAAAAATATAGTCAGACAAAAGTCCCATGTTGGTTAAACAATTATTTCCAAATCAGTTTATATCGATTTTGAATTACTCCACCTATTACCCCTAGATTTTGAGTTGAATGCATAAGTTCTTCGACAATGATATGTAACTGAAACAAGTATGTTTCTTTTAGGAGCAGCAGTTTCCTTTTATGCAAATCACATTGGAAACAGTTTTAAACTTTCTATCTTCCATTTAGTTTAATTTTCTGTATGTTCTCGGGCCACAATATTAACTGTTTGCTTCCATCTTACACAGTTCTCAATCCAGAGCAGATTTATTGACACTTGGGTTGGCAGTCACCAACATCTTGAATGGTCTTGTTTGGCTTTCAATCCGACCAAAATCCATATCTGTGGTGAGGGCTGTATACACACACATACACATGCTTTCTTTGTATCCAACTCTTTCTCCTCAGCTCATTGTTTATTTCTCCTCCTGTAGATACACCACAAGATTAACTGATCGATTTAAGCCTTTTGTTTTCAGGTAAATCCTAACGGTGTAGAGTGCCAAAGAATAGCTTCTCACCTACCAGATTTTGTTATTTCTGAGCTGCTATGGTATTGTATTTATGAGCTGGAACAGTTTTTGAAATGGGTCTTTATAACTTGCTCATTTTTATACTTTGATATCACGTATAATATTAATTTGATATGTTTGTGCGTTTATATACATATTACATAATTTAGGTAATGAGTATGCATTGTACTCGAGGAACGACACTGATCATCTTTTTCTTGCCGAAGAAAATTCAGATTGAAGGTCACCTATATGTGAAAGTTCCACCCCATGATACTCCGCGCCAAGTCATAGGGAAGAGAGCTAGGTTCTATAATCAAATGCTTATTGATTTAAATTGACCACTAGTCTTTGCCCAGAGAGGCTTATTGCACAAAAAACGAAACTTTATTAATTAGTCATTGAGATTATAAGTATTCAACATTAACGTCTTTTGAAGTATTTAGAGAAGTTGTTTTTGTCGACACGAGAGGGTTACGTTGATTTAATTGAAGGGACCCTTCACCTAACCACGAATCTGGGGATTTGAGTTATCAATGGGTGAGAAAGTGGGAAAAGTCACTTTTGGCCTCTGAGGAGAAGGGGTTTTCAGGGGCTGGATTTTTCATATAAAAAATGTGTGTTTTTGGTAATGATAGTGGGAAAGAGCATCATTTGATGCTTTAAAATATAGTTGGTTGTATAAATGAAAAGGTGGCATCATTTCTAAATAGTGAATAGTGTGTGAACTTTCCGTTCACTAACACAATTGCAGCTCGTGTACTTTACAGCACTGATATATTAGACAACTCCTCCCGAAAAAGAACGTGTTAAATAAATCCTTCAACATGCTTCTGCCCAGGGGCTTAATTCCACACTTATATAATAACCGGTCATCAATTGAAAGCAGGGCAAGATGGTGATGAAGTGCAATTGGTCGAAACCTTCCACTAGCAACTGTTCCAGTATGCAAATGATATCTAACCAAGAAAGCACTGTTTTATACATTTCCTGACGCTTTTAGATGAGAAACCTTTGGAGTTTGGCCACCGTGAAAGTGACTTCTTGATGATTTAACATGTCTGTCTTGCTCTTTTGTCTATCCTCAGGGCATGGAATTCTCTATCAGATGTCACATGCTGCAAGTCTCTGGTCATTGTTTATGATGGAAAATGTATCCTTCAAACTGGGTTTGCTGCTGCATCTTTATCTAATGGAAGTGATGCAGTAGCTGTGGACAGTAATAAATTGATAGAAGGGTCACTTTACCAAGGAGTTTTAAAATCTGCATCACGTAAGTGATATCACTAACTTTTCTTTTGTTCTAGCTTTTAAGATATAGTTATATCTGTGTTTTCCATTAAGCAAGTGGGCAAATGAGATTATGCGCCCTGAGAGCATGTTTTGAAAGATGAAGACGCCATTTAAATTTATCTTCAGACCCCAAGTTTAAATTACACATGCTTGATTGTCGGTATTTCAGAGAGCTACTTGGCCAACTTATCTCTTTATCCTGGGAAGTCGGAGCTACCATTTCTTCCTTCAAATACACAGGTAGTACTAATTCCTGCTTTCTCCCCCCTTTTTCCCTGTGGCTCAACACTCTGTCTTGTTTCACCCAAGTTTACAATATCAGTTGTGCTAAAAGATGTATACATACCTCTATAAAAGCAAAATGAGCATTTCTCTCACCAAAATATATTTTATCATTCAAGGTGTCTGCCCAATATACATCTGTAGGATCTCTTCTATCATGGATTCTTCATATTGTCATGTTTATAGGTTGAAACTTCACCAAAAGGTTATTAATAACCATAATTCTTTACTAGGCAGTAATCTTGCAGCCTCTAGGAGACAAAGGAATTGCCATAATTGGTGGTGACACAATCAGAGGATTCACATCTTCTGACCAGGTATGGATCACCATTCATGTTGCGCTTATATAGTTACTGATATTCCCTTACCTTTGGTTTTGCAAGCTTGAGGCCTATGTGATCATACTATCTACACTTTTGGTGACATGAAGTACATAACTCTACCATGGTTTTGTTATACTGTGTGTGAGCTCTATTTACCATGGTTTTCGTTATACTGTGTGTGAGCTCTATTTACCGTGGTTGTCACTATACTGTGTATGAGCTCTATTTGTTATCTAACTACTTGTTCAAATATCTGTGAAGTTCACCCTTTATATTAGAATCCCTGTTTTCCATCTTTCAAACACACCTTAGCCTCATGTTTTTCTCCTTTATTTGACAGGCATGGATCACATTGATCGGAGAGAAGTTAGATGCTACACTGACAAAAGTTATTTGACATTCATAGTGGCAGTGCAAGATGGATGTTTCAAGATATTCTAACAGCAGTATCTTAAGTTCAAGTGTTTGCCTATAATCATGTCTACATTCAAAGTGATTTTCCTTCCTTTAGTTTATGTTACACAGATGGTCCACACATTCTAGAAAATACATATGTATCATCTCTTGACTCTTATATTTGGACTTCCTCTCCAAAAGGAGGACTTGCAGTTTCAGCTTGTTTTTATTTTCTACTGAAGTACACAGAAGTGTTCCCTACATCTTTTAGAGGCAACCTTTGGCTATTGCGAAATATATCATTTATTGGTTCATTTCATCACTTGTAGGCACAAAGAGTGGTAATTTCTTTCCATGATTGCTTGCTTTGAAATGATTTCCCCTGTGAGCTTTAGCTCTGCTGTCATGTTGATTGGTGAAAGGCTGAGATACTGTAGGAGGTAACTTTTTCGTCTTTCTTGTGGGAAAATGAGGAAGATTATATCCAGAGAAAACCAATATGGAAATTTCATTCCTGGACCTCCCATCTCCAAAGGCATAGTTTGTAATAGCTATCCCAGAGACAACAAAGCTTCCTTGATCTAAATGGTAAATTGTTGTAATGCATTGAGTGATTCCTTATATGCCTTGTGTGTATACGACTTCATGTTTTAATGTGATATATCATGCATATTATACTTGATGGCTCATATGATTTTGTTCGTTGTGATTTTGATTAGATATGGTTTAGACGGAGTGATGTTATTTCAGCATTGAAAGGTTAGCAGTCAGATGTGATCTAGTTGGATCTGGCTCTAGGAAGAGTGATGTTGTTTCAACCTTGAATGGTTGGTTATTCATTGTAATCTGGTTGGATATGGTTTCAGGTGGATATATGAACCTCGCGACACCCCTATAGGTTATGCTATCTGACAGATTGAGCGAGTGTATACCAGTTATATTTGATCATTACATTACATTGCATCATCTCCATTATTTCCGACTTACTGAAGTTGTTGAGTTTATTAGTGGATTCTAGGATGGTTTGTGACCATATCTGTCAGACTTATTTGTATATTCTTATTGAAACTGATATACAGTCAATTGTTGAAGTAAGCAGTTATAAGACCAACCCCGCCACCACTTCAGTTAAGGGTCGGTCAACGATACTGCTGAGTCCACGTGTTTTCCGTACTCACACTACACTTGCTTCACCTTTTGTGCAGATTTTGTTTCGAGTACCAACGGTGAGTCAGTGATATCATTCGTTTTTTGGATGACCTGAAAATTCAGAGTAGTTGTACATAAAATGTTGAGTAGTACACCCTCACGGTGCGGGTATTATCAAGTCCCAAATCCGAAGATTATGTCTCATCTTTTTCTATAGTTTCTAAGTTGTAGAGGATATTTGCTTATTATGCAGGTATACATAATATAATGCATTGGCTTCGTGTACTATTAATATTTTATTTGCTATATTTTTTCGATTTACGTATACTAATTCATAGAAAATCATGATATTAGTATGCATACATTAGCATAGTTAAAGACAGTATTACTCTTTTTCACTGTATTTATGAAATATATTTTTGTAAATAAATATTTCTTTTTTAAAATTATGCAATGACCATCACTAATACATTATTTTTATACCTTACCAAACAACCCTTTAATGCAGTATTTGCCTTTTTATTGGATTTGTTTAATGTTTAACGTGTACGTTGTTCACTTGTGATTATGGATAATTAATTAATGAGAGAAGTAGTGAAAAATATGTGTGAACTTTGCCCAAATTATTAATTTCATCATAGACCGATTGACAACCTTAAAAATATTACTAATTAAAAGACCGTTTTCAACATTTTTCTCTATTTTTATTAATAGTTTCACGTTTCTACAAGATACTTTTGGGATGTATTTCATTCATGCGGTAAGATCCGATTATACTGAAGTATAATTAATCAAATATATTTTTAAAGCTATTATATCAATAGTTAAATGATAAAACTAATAATTCACACCGAATTTAAATTGATTTCAATAGTTCTCTTCTTAATTAATGGAAAGAAAAAAAACCAAGTTTTTAAAGAGACTCCAACTCTTGTAAGCTGCTGAGATTCTGTGATTTCCGGTTTCCTCACCAGTGCCGTTTCTCCACCTCTGCAGCTGAAATCAAGATGGCTTTATCAACTATTCGGACGGTTAATCATCTTCTAAAGCCTTTCACCGCCGCCACCCGCCGCCTATCGTCGGACTCCAACGCCACCATCAATGTGGAAATCAGCAAACCGTACACCGCTCACAACATTGATCCTCCCTCATCAATCGTCGAAACCACCCCTAATGAACTCATGACTTTCTTCTCAGACATGGCGGAGATGCGGCGTATGGAGATCGCTGCAGATTCGCTCTACAAAGCGAAACTAATCCGCGGATTCTGTCATCTCTATGACGGACAAGAAGCGGTTGCAATAGGCATGGAAGCTGCAATTACAAAAAAGGATTGTATCATTACGGCTTATAGAGATCACTGTATATTCCTTGCACGTGGTGGAGGGTTAGTTGAGTCGTTTGCGGAGCTAATGGGGAGAAAAGATGGTTGTTCCAAAGGGAAAGGAGGTTCGATGCATTTCTACAAGAAGGATAGTGGATTTTATGGAGGACATGGAATTGTAGGTGCTCAAGTTCCTCTAGGTATTGGAATTTCTTTTGCGCAGAAATATAACAAAGAGGACCATGTTACTTTTGCTATGTATGGTGATGGTGCTGCTAATCAAGGACAGTTGTTTGAGGCTTTGAATATGGCTGCTCTATGGGATTTGCCTGCTATTCTAGTCTGCGAGAATAATCACTGTAAGAACTATACTAGTACTATTTTTCCTGATTTTGTAAGTAATACTATAAATGTACGCTTTATATTCTGTTGACATTATGTGGTGCAAGTTTAGTACTGCAATAGCATTGATGTGTTCATGAAAAGAAAAAAATATTGGTTCATGCAAATAAATTGTGGATAAGCGCCGCGCCTAGGATTATCCGTGATTGCTTTTGTTGATGCAGATGGAATGGGGACAGCAGAATGGAGGGCTGCAAAGAGTCCAGCCTATTACAAAAGAGGGGATTATGTTCCTGGTTTAAAGGTGATACTCAGTCACATCTTGTAAATACATTGTTATGATTTGTAGACATAATTTAGATGTTCCCGGTTTTTACTTTATGTGCTAACTAAGTATTGGAGACTAACATTTTACATCAGATATCTAGAATGGCCAACTTCTCTTCAATTTGAAGCCTGGAAATGGCTGGAATACATGCTGTTAGATGAGAATTAAAATGTTGTGTTTGCAACTGTAATTTGTTTTAATCACATCTTAAATATAATATAGCATAGAAATAGTAGTGTTATCCTTGTTTTTACCATTAATTTTAACTCTTATTTGGGGATTTCTAACTCCAGCTGTTCCAAGAGTCTCCGCTAGTTAAACCGTCACAATGGAAATTCTTACACTCTGTAGTTGTTTTATTGTGAATATATTCATACTAATGCATGTATAACCGTTCAAAAAATACATTTATATATCCTTTTAGGTTATTGGTTCAGCAAAATGCTTTAGAACTCTAGAGAAAAAGTCTGTAGTTTTCTTACACCTCAACTAATCTACTCGGTACTTGTTATTACCTCCTACCTACACAAGTACTTGGTAGCATTGTTCACTCATCTTAGATAGATAGAAAGACGTCATTTAGCGTTTTCTTTCCTCTGTTGAGATTTGAACCTTGCTCTCTCATGGCCCATTCAACTTCTGACGGTTAATCCACACCCTTGGGCGCTTAAATTGTGAAATTCATTTAACATTTATTTCAAAACCCATGAATGACAACTTTAACACTAATTCTTATGCAATTTTTCAGTTGTTACATTTCCATGGATAAGTGTCATAATATATTTGCATGTTTTGTCTAAGAAGAAATGATCTTCTTTAAAACTTCAACTAAAAGCTATTTTCTCTTCTGTATTTATTGGGTTTGCGGATGTTTCGCAAGGCTTACATCCCATTGGGGTCAAATTGGAGTTGCATTTCGCTATTTGGTGGACAAGCAAGAGAGTATTTACTCTAGTTTATATACTACAATATTGCTTATTTCTTGTTTGCATCATAAACATTGGTCTTTTTGCCACCCACATCTTCAACATAGAAGGAAGAAACTAAAAAAAATATGAAAAAGCTTTCTCCTGCTGCAAATATAAAGACCCAATTAGATCATTCTAAGTGAGAATCGATACAAAGTTTGAGAAGAGAATGTAAGAGTATGCTAACAGTGCTCTTCATTTTATGTTTCAAAATAGGTCGATGGTATGGATGCCCTTGCTGTAAAACAAGCATGCAAATTTGCCAAGGATCATGTCCTCACGAAAGGACCAATTGTAAGTACATAGCATGTCTAAATTCCAGTATTGATATGCAGTTGCATTTCACACGTTCTTTAGTGATAATAGTGTCACGTGTATGTATGACATGGAAAGATGTTTTAAATACTAGAATACTAGATATTAGATACTCTTGGGGCTTCATAGATATTTCCACAAAGTTAACTGATTAGCTAGGTTGAGACAAGTAATACGAGAAAATTGGCTAGGCATGAGAAGAAATGAACATGAGATGCTAGACATTTCAAATCACATGGCTTAACAGTTGCGATATAGTCTTCTTTTACATAAATCTAGTTTCTTGACATGATACTATTCTGTATTTTCTGATTCTTTATTTGGTCTTTCATGGTCATAGAGCCCTTCTTTAGGAGCTCAAGCAAGTCCATCGGCTCGACAGAGATAATTCTTTTCTCTCTGCTCTCCTTTCTTCTTTAAGAGAAGTTTCTGAAAAAATGTGTGTCACTATATTAATGCTAGCAGTTCTTTCAATATTGAAGGGAGGAAAATAGCTGGAAGATATGAATGAGATGCTAGACCTTTCAAATCAGATGGCTTAACAGTCATTATCTTTTATTCATTTCCATAAAACATCTAGTGTCTTGACATGATGCTATTCTGTGTTTTATGGTTGAGACAATACATGAGATGTTCCCCAGAGTAGGCTGATTTTGCCTCGATGAGCTTTAACTATGGAGTGGTCCTATTACCTCCTGTACTACTTTGAACAGATATCAATACCTCCTAATAAGGCTAGATAAAGGAGAGTTGAAGGGGATGGTGTTGGAGGAGAGGTGGTGTATTAGAGTTAATGGGCAACATGTGGATTTGATTCGGGGTATGAACAGAGGGGAGGGGGAGAGCTAAAACTAACTTTAACTTTTGAAAATTTTAAGAAGCCGAGAAAAAGGAAAAAATACATGTCAATCAGGGGTGTATGCGTGCTATCACAACCTTTATTAAAATGGAAAGGGTCAAATGCCTTTGAACTCTGCGAAATTGAACAAAAATGCTCTCAGTTAATAGTTTGGTCTAAAAATGCCCTTGCGGTCAATAGTTTGATCCATAAATGCCCCCATTGCTAATAGTTTGGTCCAAAAATGCCCCTATTGTTACAAAGTGCATGGAATACCTCCCACAACCACATCTACAAAATCGCTTTTTGACCTCCTCGTCTAAGCCCGATTGTGGAGCATAAGTACTAATGATATTCAAAGTATGCCTCAAAGAGGATTGATTTTATTCTATAGAAAAACTGGAAGTTGGGGACTGTTGAAGGTGAGAAGAGGGATGAAATTACGAAGTAAATACGAGGAAAGCAGGGTGGGTGGGTTATGGTGGAAGGTTTCATTAGAGGTTTTGAAGTTTTGTGATTTCTGGTTATTCCTGTTTGAACCTTCTTTGCTGCTACTATGATAGGGTTTAATTTGTTATTTTTGTTTGTAGATGGTATAGGATAAAGAAGAATAGGAGTTTGGACCTCCTCTTTTTTTTTTGGTTGTATTATTTTATTGTGTTTATTCATTTTACCGTGATACACATCAAATTTTCAGTTGTTCATTTAACACGTCAGGAAGTGATTGTATTTTATGTGCGAGGTTTGCTGGATTCTGGTGTTCATGAGACACATTTAGGCCAATAAGAGGTATCTACATGGTCACCAGGATAGTTAAGGTGTCCAATTGGCAGTTGGTGGTAACATTAAGAGCTATCCGTATCTTTTACCAAAACTTTATTTCATAACACGTCAGAAAGTGATTGTACTTCATGCGGGAGGTCTGCTGGATTCTGGTGTTCACATGACACACTTATGCCAATAAGAGGTATCTACACGGTCACCAGGATAGTTAAGGTGTCTAACTGGCAGTTGGTGGTAACATTGAGGGCTCTCCGTGTATTTTCCCAAAATTTTATTTCATTTTTTACTCGTGTCATTGTTTGTTGAAGTTGTTGCAAATTCAATTTGTTTTTCCAATTTATTGATTTCATTCTCTCCCTATCATGTTAATTTGATGTTTTCCCTTTT